ATTTAACTTAAAGTATCTTTTCGATCAATTTACCGTTTTGTCCGACCTCTGTGAATGACTGTGATTATTAAATAGGTCAGAATACGAATTATATCGATGGTTCCATCCTTTTTTGGGGAAGAATTAATGATCTTGAAATCTTTTTGATCTTTTCATGTACAAAAAGCCAATTAAATTAAGATAATTGGCTCCCCGAAACATATCAATGTTGACGCGTAACAATTTCTTTTTTACGTTGCCTTCAGAGATATTCAGTTACCTGGCTTTATCCGTATAACATCGAATAGAAAGTATTCATTGACAAAAATGTACTTTGTTGGCTCGTTCGAGTAATCACAATAATCCAAGTAATAATCGTGCAATCATGGTTGGGCCTTCGAACGCGGAGATTGATTTCCTTGCGAACAGTTATATATCCTGTGGTTTATTTACCGTCGAGTACTTCATTCTTGATTCTGAGGAATTCTGTTTCGAAGAACCATTATATCGCGATAAAATTTGTTTTGTTTTCAAAAAACAATTTGTAAAATAAAATATGGGAAAGAATTTTAGCGAACATATCGTGATATTTCTTTAATTTTAATTTATTCGAGTTTATAAGACAATATGGAATAAAAGAAAGAACATGATAATTATTCGTAATATAAAATTCTTAAAAGTAAAGATCGATTTAACACTTTCATCCCATACTCCTCAATACATGAATTATTACGTATATTCATCGTAAGTGTTTAATATATTCACCATCTATATTTATCTAAGATATTCACCACCTAATATGATTGCAATTAATTATATTCTAATTATTCACCATTTGCCGATCCTTTCCAAAGATTCTCGAATTATAAATTTAAGAATAACGATATAGAACGAAGAACAATGCATGGAAGAGACAGAATGCTCGTTTATCCTAAGAGGGAGATAATAAAATAAAAGCGCTTAAACAGGTATCCCGATCGCGTTACCTTATATGTTCAGATCTATCGTTGGCTGCCGAAAATCAGTTTCACCTTGGATCAGTGTAGTCGTTTAGTCGTCTTGTAGACGCCTAAATCGTGACGAGGGCCGTTTCATCGTTTCTCCTCGTCCCGTCGAGTTTTTCCAGTTTCACGTGGATTGACAGACCGACTACCATATAGAGTATCTAGTCGAGACGACGGCAAGCATGAATGGAGCGCCGCTCGACTGTCGCATCAGTTCTCGAGAACTCTCGATCGACGTCAGAAAATTGCAAGAAAGATAGGTGCAAAAACGCGGCGAGGGAATCCAATAAACACGAGAAACGTGTACCAAGCGAATACGGAGGACCGTGTTAGAAACGAGACGTTTCCACGATATTTCATTATCTACTCTCATTCACGAAAGTATTTGAACGTTCATTACGAAACTTTTCTATCGATACGTTAGGTGTATTTTACAGAAAATCTTTCCAAATTCTATCAGCTTATCGCGCGTATCTTTTACGAGCGTGTTGTGCGCGTTGTACAAAACATGTTGAAGTTCTCAAGATTACATCGTAGCAAGGTACTTTACCTCTATATTTCGCAACTTCCTTCGGTTAAAGATGTCATCGACCATGTAACATTGTTATTTCGAGCTCTCGTTCTTATTTTCAAATGTTTGAAATATTCGCAGTAGCGAGTGTACAGTGCGTGAATATCCTACGATCAAATAATTAACGATATCCGTTTAAGCATCGAACTTGGATAGTATTGGTCGTCGGTTTACTGAAAGAGTGACACAACTGAGAAAACTAAAGTACGATCCTTGGTCCCGCCATATGTATATCCATACCTGTGCCACCGGTAGCAGCTCGTCTCTCGGCAAAGGTCTGCAGCGACGATCGCTTTGCTCGCGGTATCTCTTCCTCGGCTCCTCTCCTCTCGACCCTCTTCTCCCACTCGACCATCCGTTCGTCCGTCTGCCTGAGATTCCGTCGCCGAACAGTGAATCACGTCCATTGACTGGACGCCGGCCAGACGGACTGGGCCCGACCATATACAGACTAGATTCACTCGTGTCGTCGGTCGCGCGCGAGCGAGAAGTCGATGCTCTCTGTGCAGCACGGCCGTTGAAAGGGAGGAAGAGAGGAAGGGAGAGAAAGAGAGAGGGAGAGAGAGAGGGATAGGAGGCTGGCTGAGGTACCTTTCTGTAGCCGCTTCCTGTCTCTGCACCGAGCGATGCCGTTTGCGTGGCATAATGGGCCGCCGATCGTTTGGACGACGCGATCGTACAGGTGTTCGATCATACGAACCAGTGTTTTCATTCCTTTTTGGTTTCGCTTTAATAACAGCTAAGCCGTACAGTCCGTTCGTTCGGTTAATGATACGGACCGCGGACCAATTAGAGGAACGTGTATTGAAATGTCTTTATTGGTACACGAATTGCTGAGCTCTCGGGGATGTTTTACGTTTCGATGGAAACAGACTTTGATGGAAATTGGGAATTTTAGTTAACGAAAAACATACTCCAGTGAGCGAGACAGTGAACGTTTTTAATGGATAGAGTGGAAAGCGGCGATTACTGTTGATTTTGATTTTCATTATTTACAGTGGTACATATTAGAGAATAGTTTTCATAGACAATTCATTTCTTGCGAAATGCTGCGTACGTGCTTTATTAAACGTGAATTGTTGTACAAGTTTCTCGGAAAGAGGCTTTCAATTCGCGATCAAATAGATATATGTAGAGATATAATCCAGTAATACGTTAAATATAATTAATACCGCGTTATAAATTCAATTCGTTTCGTTATTCTGCGCTTAAAATTTCCCCAACGTCAATTTCTTCTGTATTACTAAATTTATCCGAAGTTAAATGGACAAAAACACATCGGAAGATTAAAAGATCATCCGTCGTAGAGCTTCAGGTGTAATTTCGAATACTAAAACGTATCAATCGCCAACTACCAAATCCTTACGAATCTTAACGATCCGTCGATTATACTCGATAAAATTATGCCAGAGGCTTCAGGTTCTTATTCTCTGTCGAGTGCTTATGGTCCGCTTTTGCTTCGCCTCGAAAAGATACAAAGAGGAAGAAGGAAAGACGAGAGGGTACGAAAAGTGTGGACGATATCGAGGCGTGCGACACTTTCTCCTGTTTTTAAGAAGCAAACGAGATGAAAAAAGAAGCCTGTAAGGGCGCACGAACTGCGGCAAGGGCAGGAATAATTGGGGAATCAAGCTGGCAGAGAAGATACAGTCTCGCGAAGGATACGATCGTTCGTGTAATTCGACCTTACGTCCTGCGAGATGCTCGTGGCACTGATCGATGCACCACGATATATAGGGTGCGGCGAAAATTGTGGCGCAATCCAGACCGGGGCGACTGCTTTTAAAACACGTTGAAACTTTTGTAGGTGACTTTAAGAAGAATATGACGGAACATCGAACGATAGTTAAAGTAGATTAATAACATCGATGTCAGTCAAATCGATCAATTTTATTCTGTAAAAAATTCTTCGCTCGAACCCTTTCGAAATCCAAGTTTCTCTTTTTCCTATGTGATCGATGTATCGATAGAAGAAGCACGTATTTTTGGATAGTTTTGTTAGGAAGATTCGAAAATTTGGGATTAATTATGCCGAAAATAAATAGATACATCTAACATGAAACATCTATAAACATACTTATTTAATTGATAATTATTACATAGACTCTTCGTGTAACGCATTGTCCTTCCTTTCTGATAAGAGTTGAACGACCAATAGATAGAATTTTAAACAGAATTCATCTTGTTACGGCCAACTTACTATAGAAACCTCGAAAAGATAGCCTTCTTCTTTCGTTCGCAAAAATATCGTAAGATAAAAGATAGAAAAATATTAAAAATAGCATAAGTATAAGCGTTTTCCATCAGCGAGCAAACAGGACAAGCTGATAGCGTGGAGGTATAACGGAGGAGCGAGAGAAACGTTCCGGATTTCCATCGTGAGAGAGAGCTAACTGGCTTCATTGAAGCGTATCAGAATCGCGCGGCGTAAAAGCGGGGATGCACAAAGGAAAAAGATTACCAGAACGAGACTAGGCCGCTGCATCCGGTCGCACAACTGACCTTGACTTGTTCGTTCTATTCTTTGACGATCGACGGAGTGACCACCGAACCGCTTGACTATCTAGGTATTCACCACCTGTCGCGATTCTATCGAGTCGAGAAGGATCGACCACAACCGCACCACGATCCACTGCAGTCCAACTTCCTCCCCTTTCGTTCGCTTTTTATCCCTTCGAAGTGGAGACGAACGCGCGCCACTGAACTCTCCACGGGATACTTTTGCGCCGCTGATGGAATCTAGTCGGTGAATTTTTCACACTGTCAATCGATAAATCGATGCACTACAGGATTTTCTTAGCGTTATTCAGGATATCGATTGGTAAGGTCGGCGGAACGAACGAGTTAGTCGTTAAGCGAAATAATTTAAGCGATTGAACGTTCGTTTTCAAATCTGAAAAGATTCTTAGTTTTAGTTTTAATCAATCCATGGCGGAATTTTGGAATATCGATCGGTTAGATTTGTGGAAGGGTTTCAAATCTGCGAGAATTTGTAGTTTGGGTTTCGATCAATATGGTATGATCATCCGGGTTATCGATTGATCAGAACGACGAAACGGACCAGTTATTTATCGAGTGGAACGTTTAATCGATTGGAGAATTATTTTAAAGTCTGAGAAGTATCCTTAACCCCGTTTCTTTGATCGGTCAGTTTTGTGAATAAATATGTAACGTGGTAATTAATTCAAGGGATTGAAAAATTATATGGATCAACGCTATCAGAAGTATTAGAAATCTATTTAAAAAATTATTGTAATTGTACTTTTTATTTTAAGCGTCTATCTAAAGATTCATTCGTAAGATAAAGTTCCTCTCTCGAAAGAATTTGAGAAGCAATAAATGCAAAGTAGAATTACGATTATTAACGCGTAAAGAAAGAGGAGCAATCTTTTCGATTCCGAAATAAAGAAGAGATACAGACAAACGTATAATTTTCGTATTTTCAGGGTGCTTCTCGCGCAAAACGCATTACGTAAACGAGAAACCTATGGTGAATTAAGAAGAGGAACGCGTCTAGACAGAAGATCTTAAAAAGGAACGTTTGTTTCCCTTTGCAGCGACGAGTTCTTCTCGAAGGCAGAGGATAGGAAAGAAAGAAGAACGAATGAAACGGGATCCGTATTGAGATTTCTTGAGTTCTGCTATAAAAGGCAGATCGTCATGGAGGAAATTCGGTTCGAATCGCTAGAATTTCATTGCACGGTGCATTAAAATGATGGGTTCGTTCAACTGTGTTTACCTTCCATTGCAACTTTGTGACATTGTCCAACGTTTTATCTTGCCTTTATTTATACGCGTCCCTTCGGACGCTTCTCAAGCTGAAAAGAAACCAATTCCATTCTGGATTCAATCTTTTGTCGCGAAAAAGTTTCTTGGAAGCAGTTTAAAAAGATAATTCGTAAATTTTTACGATGTTCAGGCTTTCTTTAGCCTTTTAACACTGCTGTTACTTTGTTTTATAGCGGATTCTCCTCTTTTCTTGCGAAAACGAGAAGTTTTATTACTCTCTTAGTTGTGAAGTATAATAGCGATAGTGATTGCGTTTTATATTCCTTGATGTTTCGTGATGAAAATGTTGGTATATTTTTAAGAGTATTTTTTTACGAGTAGAAAGTTTCGCAATAAATTATTTCTTTGCCTTAATCGTGACAACTTCAACATTCTTCCCCTGGTCTTAATCTTAAGAAATAAACGCCCAAACATTTTCCAAAACACTTTATTTATTCAATTTACGCGATTCCGCAGAAAACTCCAAACTTTCGCCTCTTAGCCGATGTACTTTTCCCTCGCAGCTTTTTGAAACCAAACGTCGTGTCACGAAAAAGGAGAAGACCGTATAAATGCCCATCAATTTTTATTTCCACGTGGCAATCATCTCCTCTTACCCCTCTTATTAGCGAAAAGAAAAAAAATAACAAATATAATTTCATCATATATACATCGTCAACATCGCCAACAATTCAGTTATCTTCTTGCAAGACGACACACTGTTCCAAATATCACGTAGCGATCAACCCCCAAATTCTACCTATACCACTTCGTTGTTCGATAAAACCACCCCCGAGTCACGTTCCTCAAATTCCAATACACCCTCGATCCACCCAATCAACCTCTTACTCGTCAACATCTCGATGCATCTCAACGCCAACACCTTCGTACCATGTGGAAAGAATCCCTACCCCTGTACCATCCCTATTTTCCTTCTTTTCTTAGCGATATGAAGCAAGTGCACGAAGACGGTAGGAAGCAGAGTCGGAAAAAGGAAACGGAGAAAGGAAGGAAGTACGGAAGGAAGTGCGGAAGGAAGGGTGCAAGTGGTGTTGGTGGGGGTTCTGGTTGTACCGTTTGAAGGGGGTGCGCTGCAAGAAGCGCGTGGTAGGTCCGGCTGCAAAGGTATCGTCACGTGGCCAAGGGGGCGGTACCGTTTTCTCGTGGCCGCCCGGTATAAAAGAGAGACGTAGCACCGGTGCATCCACCAATTACTATTGCACTTTGCCACCGGGACGGAGGCAAGGTC